GCTATGTTAAGGCTGTTTTTATGGGTTCTGTTCGTTTTTCCTGAAAACCTGTCGGATAGCAGGTTTTTGAATTTTTAACAGTCAAATTATCGAGTCACGACTGTATTTATGTTCTAAAATGAAAAAAAAAAAACATTTAAGTGTGCCTCAGTACGAGTTATGTGTTCCTACCAGCTATCTTGAGGTGTGCATGGAAGTGCCTGTGTGTCAGCAGGGGCTCTGGGAGCTCCCCCAGGAAGGTCTTGAGCAGTGTGGCCACATCATTGGGGTGAAAGTCTCCAGATTCCAGGTCGACATCAGCCCCGCTGTTGAGAAGCTCCTTCAAAGCCTGCTGCCGAACACTATTTCCAGGCACCCGAAACAGCCCCTCCACATGCAGGTCTGTGTGTAAGAGCAGGCGGGGATCAGCAAGCGAAACCCTCAAACATTTCATAATTCAAAACTGATTTAGTCCATTCATCTGTGTACTTCTGAAATACTGGAATTTTCCGTCTTTTAAACTTTGGATTATATACCATGAAAAACTGAGGAGGTCTGATTTGAATGATAAAATAGTTCATGACAAATACACGTACTATTACAAACCTCTACACAAATGATTTTGTACTTTTAAATACCAGCCAGCTGTCAATGCTGTTAGCTTGTAAAAAGAGTTGTGATTAGGTGACTGTGGATGTTATGACTCACTTCTGCTGAGGTACTCAATAAGCTGGTAGATCTGAGCAATGCAGCTCTCTGTCAGCGGGGTTCCAAACACGACACCTTTATCTGTGAAGGTGTTCAGAGAGATGAGCGTGAGTGATAATATCAAGCAACTAAAAGACATCTCAGAGAAACAGCTCCTCCATTTATACATGTGCTCATCACAAATGAGCAGGACAACACAGGTAGCATTATAACTTTGCTTATTTTGTCCGTTAAATGTCTTCATCACTTCCAAAACACAAGTGAAGTGATCTGTGCAATTTATGAGACAACACAGAATGTGGAGTAGACTGGCTGACCTCTTACCTTTGCGTTTGAGGAAGTTGAAAGAACGGAAAAAGCCTCCGTTTCCGCCCGTTGGGGTTTTAGGGCTCTCCTCACCGAGGAGCTGGGCAAACTCTGTCCCAGGAAGATCTATAAGGCGAGTGATGTTACTGAGCACCAACTCTAGGAAAACATCTGGGTTTTCGTGGCGAAGCTTCTCAACAAAGAAATCTGGGTTGAAGATGACTGGTGGTCGGCCAGCATGAGAGCCTCCTGGTGATTCCTCATGATTCATCACCACGCTGCACGCTGTACCTCTGAGGGGGAGACACAGACAGATCATACACGCATGTATGTATTTGCATGTGAGAGGTCAGTCATGTTTAGGTAAATGGCAACCATTAGTTCCTCATCCAGAGAACTTGCACTTCGCAGACACAGCCGTGGCAGGTAAAGACCATGCAAGCTGGCCTGCTCATTGGAAGTAACTTGTGGTTCAATGTCTTGTCCAAGGACACCTTGACATGCCGACTGGAGGAGCTGGGGATCAAACTGCAAACCCTTTGACATGGACAACCTTCTCCACAGCTTTAGCCAGAGGCTGACATGTGCTGCTTGACTAATCTGTGCTTTAACTAGTAAAAACTCCAGGGCGGCTGTGGCTCAGGTGGTAGAGCGGTTCAATCCCCCGCCTCTCCACAGTCCAAGTGTCCTTGGGCAAGACTCTGAACCTGAAGTTGCTCCAAGTGGCAGGCAGCACCTCTGTCGCCACAGGTGTATGAATGTGCATGAAGGGGTTAATTTAAAGGTTGTAAAGCACTTTGAGTGCTGCTAAATTAGAAGCGCTATATAAGCGCAGATCATTTATTAAAAAAGGGCTATTTTGATTATATCAGGGACATTTAACATCAAAACACCAAAACCAAGGAAAGCACAACAGCTGCTGTATGTCCCGTCTCTGTCTCATACGAATAACAAATAAGAAGAAGAAAGAATGCAGGAACTGTACTTCAAACTTGTAACGCATCAAGCTCTACAGCATATGCAAGAGGGCTTAAGGACACCTGAGGGACACCTACCCATGTGCTGACCCTTCACAATGTTGTTGTCTGACAGGCTGCATCACAGTTCAATGGCAATAACCCCAAGACTACAGAATAGTTTCTACTGCCAGGCTGTGATGCAACTGAACAAACCTATCCTTACTGCAATCAGCGATGTAAATGTAGAAAGGAACACCTTCACAATGATTTCAAGTCAACTGTGACACTTTCTAAACTGCCATCAGGTGTTTCCTGTAACTCTCAGTCAGACTTGTGCACCTGTTGACAGGTATTCTGGACCACTGCTCACCTGCTCATCAGCAAAGTGCTCTCATTTGTCTGGGTCACCTTTTTTTTTTTTATTATTCTTTTCAACCACAATTCAAAAGCAACGTCTTATTTCACACAGTTATAATTTAACAAATTTTTACTCTTTTCAGTTTTTACTTATTTGAGTGACTATTGTGCATTTTGCCTTTTCTTTAACTGGAGGGGATGAATAGTTTGAGGACGAGTGTATTAAATGCTCTGAATAATCCTTAAATTGTCCTCGACAAAGACATTGGCCAAACAGTGGGAGCTGTACTGTGGCTGCTCAGTGCTCTCATATCTTCCAGGAGGGACGAGTTAAGATTTATTGAACACGGTGCAGTATCATGGGTTTGTGTCAGCTCAGTTTGGGCCATTTTATCTTCTTCTGAACCTCTGAATCCTCACTAGAACCTCACAGAAGTTAAATCTACACCTTAACCACATTTTTTTTGACAAAGCTTCACCAAAACAGGCTGAACTAACAAAAACATTAATGTAGAAGGCGTGTAGAAACACATAAAGTGTGTGATACTGAATGCAAGTTGCTAAATTTAATGTAGCTAATGTGAACTGGCACAAACACACACAAAAAACCCTCAGATAACAGTGCAAACGCCGGCTTTTGCTAGCTAAGAATCCTCACTAATTTTCGGGATAGCTAAATATTTAAAATGCGAATTAATCTAATGTGCAATTTCTGTTTTGTTACGCTAACGCTGAGCAGCTAACACTAGCTAACGTCATGTAGCTACTTTAAATGACTGAAGGTTCCTGAGAGTGACAGTTTCCTCACTAACGCTATGTTAACCAGTTTAAAACCGAAATAGCTTTAGCCGTACTGAATCCCCGTCGATGTAAATAACAATAAACATTTAATCACTGACAGCCTCGTTTTATTCTTACCTTCTATTTTGTGTGTTTTCATCGACATCCTTCCCCGCTGCCATGTTCCGTTTGAATCCTCCGCTGTTGTCCTGCAGGCACCGCCCACGTCCGCAGCCATTGGTGGTTTTTCAAAGATGGGCGGGGCATGCCGGCTCTGATTTGCATGTCGCTCACTGTGATTGGTCTGTTTGAATTCACTGGCTTTATCAATGGAAAAACAACATCTGCATGCAGAGAGAGGACTGCACCAACAACTCTTCATAAGTAGACCTGCAAGTCCATAAAAAACAAAGTCACATTTTACTCCAGTTCAGTTAGTATTTTAGTTTTTAGTTTTTTGTAATAGAAATTGTACACCCTTCTGAGTGCCCTCCTTTATACACAAATGTATAAAAGTTATATAAGAGTATATATAAGAGAATATAAGAGTCAGTGCATTTCTTTACAAAGAGTCCACTCACTTTTATCTTATAATAAATGTGTAGGCACAGAATAATGTTGCCTAATATCAGAGATATGAATTAGCAAAATTGCTATTATATTGAAAATGAAATAAACATCATAGAATGATACAACAAACCTACAAGGAAATGTAAATAATTTGTTCTGTGTGCTATACCAGCATGTATATAGTATTATTACTTATGTATTGGGGTACTTTGTGTGCATTCTCATTCCATGCAATTCCTGTTGGATCAAACAAATGCCCTTTAACTCTGATTAAATCACCATACAGATTAGTAATTCACTAAAACTCAAAATAAAATATTAAGAGATACTGGATTTCTGATTTTCATGAGCTATAAACTATAAACATCAAAATTAAAACCAAAGCTTGAAATTTTCCACTTTATGTGAAATGAAAATAGAATATATGAAAGTTTACTTTTTTAAAATGAGCTCCAAAAACCATCCATCCATCCATTTTCTATACACCGCTTAATCCTCATTAGGGTCGCGGGGGGCCGACTTAGGGCGAAGGCAGGGGACACCCTGGACAGGTCGCCAGTCCATCGCAGGGCCACACTTAGAGACAGACAACCAAGCACACTCACATTCACACCTACGGACAATTTACAATCACCAATTAACCTCAGCATGTTTCTGGACTGTGGGAGGAAGCCGGAGAACCCGGAGAGAACCCACGCTGCACGGGGAGAACATGGAGACTCCACGCAGAAAGATTCCGGTGCCCCCACCGGGACGTGAACCGGCAACCTTCTTGCTGCGAGGCAACAGTGCTACCAACTGCGCCACCTTGCAGCCCGCTCCAAAAACAATTTTAGTGATATTTACATTTTTTGAGCTGCACTTGCAGACATACACTGCTCCAAACAAAAATAAGGTAACACTGTCATATCACATAGACACTCCTGAGCCACGCTATGAGTTGCTGTGATTAAATTCACGCAAGTTGGGATGGACTGAATATTTAGTGTGATGTTGAATTAACCCCTCAGTGGGTTTATCATTTTGGTTTCCACTGACCGTTCTTACATCATTTTGTTCTCAGTGAATTACACAATGTATACCATTAAAGATTTTCAGCTTGAATTCTTTCGTTCATCGAGATCTGATGCAAGATCACGTTTCATTTGATGTACAGCGCATGTTTTCAAACGCTGATATCAAGGAGAACACAAATACCACCACAAATAGTTGTTCTGCTTTTTTTGTGTATCTGTCTTTCACACAATCACTTTGCGATAAACTGTCACAGAGGTGACGAACACCATAAAACAGCAAGCAACTGCTTCATGACTAAAAACTGGCTCATCAGTTTGACTTGATGTAACAAAAAGAATACTAACTCCGTCCCACACTGGACCACACTCCTTCATCAGTCTTTATTGCAACTTGCATAAGTTATGACAGAGTTACGACAACTTCTGAAGCGATTATGTTTAACCAACAAACTATGTTGATTTAGGGGAATTAGTCTTTACCCCACGACCCCAGTGAGGATTAAGCGATGGATAGATAATTGATGGATGGATCACAGGTCCTCTGAATTTTTTTTTATATTGCAGCCAAATAGATCTCTAAACAGAATCTCACATCATCTCTTTACATGTAACTTAGATTATTATTGCATTTGATTGTATATGCAAAGTATAAAACACATGTTTTTGAATAGCTTGATCTCATAATCACACCGAGTTGTTATCAGCTGAACAGGGGACGTCAATCTGCATTTACAAAAATGTTTTGCTTTCCCCGGAACATTTTTGAGGAAGGAACTTGTCAGCTAAACGTTTCACAGTTTGTGTTTGATCACAGTGACTCAGGACAAAGTCTGACGGCACATCATATCCATCTTTGTCAGACACAGTCCTCAACATTTGGTCAAATTTATTTTCAGTGATTGTTTCGCTGTGTTTTACTTTGTCTGCAGCCACGGCAGGACCGCCATGGGGTGTAAAGCAGCACAAGCCGGATTTATTCTCTGCCTTCTCTCCTCATCAGGTACTCTACATTTATATCTTTCACTGTAGCTGTTTTTTTAGTTATGAAATACACCTATTTAAATCAACACGTACATCAACCAACCACCTACAGTACATTTGATGGCTTTAACATATTGTGTTTATTTCTGTGTATCAGCCAAAGCTATGCATTCACTTTTCATTTCTTAGAATGTCTTCTCTTCCGTTTATGCTCTTCAGTGCAGCTGCCTCATGGTTCCCAGATTAAATTCAGTCCTTTTCCTTCACTCCACCCTCCTACTGTGTGATGTCCTGCCTCAGTGCATATAGATATGAACTGGGGAGAACTAGGATGTCTCCTTTAACACTGGAAGAATAAACTGTATGTTCTGATGTGCTGTCTTACAGTGCTGCAGGGTCACACTGACAACAGAGTGACTTACCCTTCACGTCAGATCTGTGCCGTACAAGGATCGACGGTGGACATACGCTGCACCTACACGTATCCGTTCAGAGTAAACGGGAACGCCACTGTGGTTGAAGAAGCTGTGTGGTTTACTGAGATGAACCGTGATGAGCCTGTAGATGTGAAGACAGATGCAGAGTTCACAGATCGTGTGCAGTATCTTTGTGGTGAGAACTACTGCAATCTGAGAATCACAGACCTGAGAAAGAGCGACTCAGCTGAGTACAAGTTCATGTTCAGAACAAACCAACCAGGAGGGAAAACTATTGGTTCACCAGGAGTCAGACTGTCTGTCACAGGTAGGACTTTGTTTTGAAGATATGTCACTGCAAATATAAAAGCTGCTGCTGCTACTCTTGGACAATCATTCTGATGATATTCCTTTTTCTGCACATACAGCTCTCCAGGTGCAGGAGGTAGACACGTCAATGTGGTATCCTTCCTGGAAGGAGTTGAAATGTAGCAGCAGTTGTGATCTACCTGATCATCACTCCTACATCTGGTACATGAATGGACAGGAGTTTCACAGAATAACACCTTTTTTTGACAAATCCTTTGATCGTTCAGACAGCATTGCGTGTGCTGTTACAGGACATGAGAAGTTTCCATCTCCTTCAGTGTGTGAGTTTAGTCTTCTACTCTCTATATTTTATTCCCTGTACCATCACTGTCTGTATTTTTATGACAAGAGTCCTCATAACTCCTGCCTGTTCTTTCATTGGTCCAACTACTGCTGTCAGCATCCAAACAACTGTATCACCTGATCTGTATTGATGCTAGCAGTGCTTTTTACAAGATCTTCATCTTCTTTTAGGTGTTCGTGGTCAAACCTGTAACAGAGTGACTTACACCCATAGAAGCATCTGTGCCCTCAGAGGATCATCTGTGGACATTTCCTGCACATACGTTCATGAAGATGATGTTGTGACAAAGTTCTGGTTCAATCTTGGACGCAGGTCTCAGTGGCGCCATTATTCACAGCCTGAGGACATCATCAGAGACTCTCAGTATGCAGATCGTGTTCAGGTCTCTGAACATGGAGGACGCTCCACTCTGACAATCAGAGACCTGAAGGACACTGATTCAGCTGAGTATCACTTCAAATTCAAAACACAAGAGTTTGAATGGAAGAGCAGTTTACCTGGAACAATTCTGACTGTCACAGGTACTGTGAACACAATCTGAGGAACATGAATGC